ATACAAATCTATGAAAGTAGGTCAACTTAAATATATTGATAGTATGCAATTTATGAATACTAGCTTAGCCTCTCTTATAGGATTTCACCGTAATGTTTCGTAAATCTTATGATACCGTAATCCTACATAAGATTTTGACTGTAATATTACGTAAAAATACGACCCGTAACCCTACGTAGGATTTCACCGTAATTTTTATAAATCTTATGAACTTGTAAACTTACGTAGTTTTATAACGTAATACTCTAAAATATTACGAAAATCATAAATCTACGGAATATTACACTGCATTTAAGTTCCAGATGAAGTATTAATCATCTTATTCTCCAGCGCAAAAAGAGAGAGATAATAATATTTGATTATCCTGAAAAGAGGGTTCAAATCATGTAATCCATATATATGATAAGGAATAGAGATCTCAGAAGGTTTGTAATGTGTCTTGTTTATTATTTTTATCGATTTTCATCTTTCTTTTCAATCAGAATATTCAGAACCTAATCTTTTTTTAATTTTTTCTCTTTTCAACGTATACGATAACTAAAATCAATCTAAATTTTTTATCAGGTTCGGCTCTTTTTATGACGCAATAATTCAATAGGGGAGACTACCCAAAATATAAAAGTTGCAAGAAAAAGGTGGTACAATGATGATGTATACGTAGATAACTCAAAACCGCCTTTGAATGCTCTGAGGTGAATCATTTCAGCTTCATTTCAATCTGAATAGTAAGTAGTTATATGTTTATTAATAATTTATTTCACTTATATAATTAATTGTTTGTTTTTATATTATAGAACGTGTTTATCATAAATATTTTATAGAAGACAATTCAGCTTCATTTATCGAATAGTAAGTTGTTTGTTTATTTATTTCACTTTATACAAATTTATTAATAACTTATTTCACTTTATATAATTAATTATTTGTCTTTATATTATAGAACGCATCTATTGTAATAATTTATAACATTAATAGTAATTATAACAATGGAATGTAACAAGTGTAATACAATAATTGAACAATGTATAGTAATATAACAATGTATAATGGTTGTAATAGTTGAACATGTAATATTTTATTATTATATAATATTAAATAAAAAATGTATATTGCATATTTTATTAATAAAAATTTAAACTACGCATATATTAAAAATGGTCGATATCGGATCCCAAATACATTATAAAATATGCCTGATTTATCGAAAAATCAGATATATCAGGTCATATAAAGATACTTGATATTCTTCCTGAAACTTAACTGTAACTTACCTGTTACTTACCTGAAATGCTCCAACCTGAAAGGTTTCATGAAGTGTTCCAAGAATTGGCTATATTTCACATAATACTATCAGATTACATTCAAACTGGATTCAGTGAAAAAACAAAGATTTATCAAGTGATCATCGATCACCTGATAGATCTTCTTCTGACCTGTAACATTTATTATTAAATAAATTAATATTTAATAATATATTCTGCTATGAAAGTCGGATATGGTATTTATTAATAAAAAATTAATTTTTATTAATTTTTTATATTAAAATGCCACCCCGAAAGTCAGACACAGCATTTATTATTAAAAAAATTAAATTTTAATAATAAAATGCTATTCCAAAAGTCAGACATAGTATTTATTAATAAACAAAATAATTTTTATTAATTTTTTATATAAAAATGCTGCCCCGAAAGTCAGATGTGGCATTTATTAATAAAAATATTAATTTTTATTAAATTTTTATATAAAAATTCCACCCCGAAAGTCGAACGCAATATTTATTAATAAAAATATTAATTTTTATTAATTTTTTATATAAAAATGCCAATCTGAATGTCAGAGGTGAATTTTTGTTAAAAAAAACAAAATTGTTGTTTTTTTTAATATTAAAACACTATTCCAAACATCAGAGGCAGATTTTTGTTAAAAAAACAACAAAATTGTTGTTTTAACATTAAAACATTATTCTGAACATCAGAGGCAGAATTTTTGTTAAAAAAACAACACACTTTAAAATGTCTAATTATTAGATATCTGCATTTATGAAAAGGTATAAACTGGCTTGGCAAAAGCATACAAGAATTTCACAAAAACTTTCTGCACAGATTGAGAAATAAGTAGAAAGGTTTTGCCAATTTATTATTTACATTAGGGTTGAAAAATCCTATGAGTTAGATAACATTTTCAATATAGATAAGATACCTGTATAGTTTAATATGATAGGGAATTTCATCATCAATTAGAAAAATAAAAAGACAGTTCAGATTCATATAAAAGGTAATAAAAAAACCAGTTTACATTTATTCTAAAATATGTAACAGTTGAGAATTTTTGCAAAGTTTGTGATATTAGAATTATAAATTTTTTTAGTGAAATATTTGAATAATATGTACTTATATATTTTAATAAATTAAAATTTTGTTATATTATAGATAGTATAAAATCACCTCAAATATGTGTTTTTAAGAGAAAACGAATTCTAAAAGGAGAAATAATTCCTTCTGATATTTTTATCTGATTTCAAGAGAATGGATGCATGAATGCTAAATTAATGAAGCAATATGTAGATTATCTCAGTAATATAACAAATAATAGAGGGTTCAGGATTCAAGTGATAATAGTTTTGATTCCTTTAGAGAACATTTGAAGGAATCTGTTAAGCAAAAATTTTAAGATTCAGGGTTTGATTTAGCAGTTATTTCAGGTGAATTGACTAATATGTGTCAACCCCTTGATGTTGCAATCAATAAACCTTTCAAGGATAACCTTCATAAAGAATGGCATCTCTAGATAGCTAATAGAGATGCTAGGCTAACTGCTGAAGGTAACCTTCAACATGCTAAGATTGGTGATGTGTGTATATAGGTAAAAAGATCATGAGAGCAAATTTCTGATGAGGTAATTATTAATTCTTTTAAAAATTGTCATATATCAGATGTTTTAGATGATCTAAATATTAGTGATGATGATATGGAAAATTCTGATAAAGAAAATGAGAATGAGATTATTGATATTAGTAATAACGATAATACAAATTTTAATGAATAGTTGTAGTTAGATTATTTTTTATTTCTTTTATTTGTAAATTCAATAGTTTTAAAAATCTATTTAATAATAAATCTTTTATTTTTATTAATAAAATTATAAATTTTTATAGGGGGTGCTTAATTTCGGGATATTTATAAATGTAGGGATGCTTATTTATTTTTTGGAGGTGCTTAATTTCGGGACTGTACGGTATTAGCAAATTCATCGTGATGAACTAGAGCTATAAAATGTTAAGTTTATGAGGATCTTAAGATTAAATCTTTGGGCTATTTGCGAATAAATCATGTTACGGATTATATTATTTACGTAAGTGATATGTCTGTACAAATGTACATTAGAGGATCGGTAATCCTGAGGCGTTTACAATAAATTATCATTATAATCGACATTCATCAAGCCGTGGAATCCAAATGGGAGGTTCGTATTAAACAAAAATAATTTCATAATTATTCTATATATGTAAAGACACTGAAAAAAAAATTGTTCGCTTTTTATATAGAAAACGATTAAGGATCGTACAACAGCATCTTTGTTTTAGTACCGTCATGTGATCGTCAGTTCGGTTGAAAAAACTAACCATGTAACATAAATACTGTACAAATCAGGATGAATATTCACATTTTTACATAAAAGGAAATAAAGGGGTGAAAATAAATAGCTTAATTGAAATTTTACTCAATTCATGACAAGAAAAGAAAAGGATTTCTTATCAATAAATTTATCCGGTCCGGATACATTCAAAATAAGGTTTCATTTCAGGTCAAGTGATTGAAAGGGTTTCCTTTTTAATAAAATGCCGAAACAATTAAAAGTTAAAAAACCTATCCTTTTCCTTTAAATATAAATATATTCATAACGATAATTTTTTTTTCCTTAATTTCTTATCGTTTGATAACGATAAGGACAGAAAACAAGAAATGGGAGTGGATGAAATTCCTAAAATACAAATAGAGTTAGACAGTAATTCTGTTAAATCTTCTTCAAGTCTTGACACTCAGGATATTGAAATTTTAAGTTTATACGTCGAATCTATTATATCAAATAAATCTTATTCGACCATAAATTTATCATCCACATCTTTAGCGATAGAAACTAAAACGATAGATTCTACATCCGAGACTAAGCCAAAGAAAAATAAGAATTTCATTGAATCAGTTAGAAATTTTTCATTTAAACAATCAGTCATTAAATTATATCGAAACAAGGAAAAAGTTCAACCTTTTATTCCAAATGAGAAACAAAAAGAAAGAGAAGATGCATTTTTAGGTTATTATGAATGTTATAGCACAGGTAATTCAAAGTTATCAATTCCAAAATTTTCTTTATCCACGGCTAGGATTGATTTACATAATATGAGAACCTTGGAGGCCAAGCATTTAGTACTTACGAAAGTTAAACAATCCCCATATATTGGGAAGGCTTCAATATTTATCATTACGGGAAAGCACGATAAAATTGATGGTGGTTCAGAATATTCCGGTAAAATGTATAATTTATTTCCTGAGTGGATGCAAGACGAATCTATTAAATATTTGATAGATGAAGAACCCGTTCGTGGACTTGGAACTTATGAGGTATTTATCAACAAACATAAGAATGAATACGATGAAATCACTGAAGAAACCTTAAAAGATTGGGAAAAAAGGGCAAAACAAAAAAATGATGTAACGTACAAAATGGCCTTGGCGGGGTTTTACCTGAAAGGTAATAAAGAAGATCATAATAAAGCTAGAAGGTTTTACGTAGAAGCTGCAAAGTTAAATTCATGTGAAGCGAAATTATGTTTAGGATATATGTATTCCATTGGAAAATCCGAATACAACCCAAAGAAGGCTGAAAAATTATTTATAGAAATAATAAACTCAAAGAAAAGAAGTAAATTGGTTTATAGGTTAGCGATGAGAAATATAGCAATATTGCATCACAATAATTATGTAATAGAATCCTTTAAGCTGAAAATTTTATTAAAATCATCAAAATTAAAAACCGCAATAAAATGGTATAAAAAATCTTTTAAAGCGGGAGATGGACAATCCGCATATCATCTTGGATTGCTTTATGAAAGTAATAATGGAATTAAAGAGGATAAGGATGAAGCAGAAAAATGGTTTAGTGAAGGCGCAAAATTAAATAATTTATATGCGAAAGCCAAATATGGAAGAATTTTAGCCAATAAAGAAGGTGTGAACGAGAATGAAAGAAAGAAAGCGATTCAAATGTTAAAAGATACGGCAAAGAAAGGACTGGTTATGGGTCAAACTTTTCTTGGCGAATATTATGAGAAGAAGAAAAATTATGAAGAAGCCGTTAAATATTATTCAGAATCTGCTATGCAAAATCATGGATATTACAGTCACGTTGCACAATTTCGTATTAAAGAATTATATGCCGAAGACTTTATTTCGAAGGTTGAAAATCTCAAATATATATTAAATTTATATGAAAAAGAATTAAAATATTATTACAACGGTCACGATGAGATTCTTAAAAAAATTCACTAACCCGAGATTAAAATTAGTTTGAGTTTTAATCAATTCAATCCATGTAAATTATTTATATTGTACTAATTAAATCATAAAATATGTAAATTATTTTTTTTAAATATAATAAATATATCAATATATTAAAGGTAAAAAATGCAACGTAAATAATTTTTAAGAAAATCTGTAATTCAAGTCGCTTATGTTATTATTTGTTAATATAACTTCTTGGAGAACTGTTATTTCCAGATGTAAATAACACTTTCAATATTTATCATAAACTTTAAAAAATAAGCAACAATGTAAAAGTTAACTGTATTTTTTTAACATTGACACTTCGGAAACATTCGAGATTTTACTACGCCACAAAGCATTGAATTTTGAGAAAAATTTAAAATTTTAACCAAGGTATTTTCCAAATTGAAGAATATTTAGCAATTTTTGAAAGCAATTGATTTTTCACAACTTGTAAAGGTTTCATCATTAGACCTACTGTACCTTTCAAATCCATACCGTTGTTATCATGAGGATTGTTAATCGGTCAATCATTAATTCCATCTTCAGTCCTTCGATTAAACCATCAAATCGCTTTAACTATACAACCACCATCAATTCTTATGTTCGTAGCAAAGAATTACTTTATTGTCCAAGTTTTTTCTCCAAAAATACTATTTGATACGATTAGTGATATTTTTAGAATAATCTCATTAACCCTTTTTCGTTTAAAGAATCTTTCTACATCATTTAATCTTTATGCATTTTTATCGGTGCATTCGGTGCATTCATCGATAGCAACAAAGAGACGTCACGTCAAAATAACTGTGAAAGATTTTTTAAAAAAAAAAATTTTTTCTTGAAAATCCCGATACATACGTTACACGATGCAAATTATATTATTTTATCTCTAAAATAAATACTTTTAAATAAACGATTAACAAGAACTGGTTTCTATATATACAAAATTATCGTTTTATATAAAAAAATCGGATTAATCATGGTCAGACTGAGATTATATCATGATTATCAACCAGTATCGTAATCTCAATCTTAATTCGAAGTTCTATATATTTTAAGAGAATGAGTTTACAATTACTCTCCGTACGATCTGGAAATGTTTCGATACTGTAATACTCATGTCACTTTATTATTTAAAGGAATTGTTAACGATAAATATGGCAACACTTTCATTATAACTTACATTAAAATGTGATAAATAAAATGCACGCGCGGGCCCATATTGTCATCATACATGTTCCTTTACTCTGTAATTTTTAAAATGACGCATAAAGAGTTAGAGATACTTGCTCTAATTTCTTTTCTCCCATACAAACCATTACTATGAATAATATCAACATGTACACTTTGACAAGGTGGTGAGAACCATCCACCATCTATGGCTAACGTTAACAGATGTACTATCGGGTCCAGCAGCTGATAATTTCCGTATTACCTGTGCAATCCAATGAAATCTTTTGTATTTTTACCAAAATGTTATTGCTATATGATCTTTGGCGCTTTTCTCCAATTCGCCAAAAACTTTCTATTATTTTTGCACACGAGTATTTTTCAAAATGTTATGCAAGGACTTCAGAATTCAGTTTATAGTAAGGATGCTTCGATATCCATTACTTGAACATTCACGTGATACGATTTCGTCATCGCGATTGAAATATTTTAGACAAAATAATAAAAAAATGATAGATTCCACATAACAGATAACGATAGTATATAATATAAATTTCCATTTTGAACTTTAAAAAAGAAATAAAATTAATATTCGAAGGTTTTTAAAAACTTAGTCATAATGTTCGTAAAACTATATCATAGATCATCAAGTGACCTTCTAGCTTATTACTGCGTGTTGAGAAATCTTTCCTTAATAAATGTATCTCAGCCATCCTGTCAAATCCTGTTATCTCGTAAAATATCCCAAATCTTTTCCAAGAACTATTTCCGTTAGTTGGTAAAATTCGTTCTTCAAAATTTTCATAAAGGACATTAAAACTTTTCATCATTTTACGGCTTTCTCAAATTTTAAAAATCTTAAAATAGTCTAGTCTGTAAACAAATTCGTTACCTTTTGAAATTTCCAAAACATCCAATAGGAATCAAAAACTTATACATAATCTCATTTTTTTGGATAAATAAAATCTATACTGATTCGTACGACCACCAAAAACCTCCAATTAAAATAAGTAATTCTACTTATAAGAAATGTGAACCTTGCTAAAAAGATAATTTATTTTTTTATTATTATTAGGTGTAACCCGTTGCTTCGCCCCGGGGTGTATCAAAATTCCGCAGTACTATACTATTAACCTTCAATCGGAATTTACAGTAACACTAAAAAAACTTCATATAATGATAATAATAATAAAATATAGTTTATTTTTTAGTTTTACACCAAAAACTTCATTATACACAATATTATTTGTCTTATAGTTCTGAAAACCATCACCAGTAGAACTTTCTTGATAGTGCATCGTTATCATCATGGAAACATATTCATCATATGTTATATACAGTGCAAGCATCATTATACAATTTACATTTAACTTTTTTACTAATTAAAATTTTTTATTAATTAAAAAACCTTTTACTAATCAAATCTCTATTAGTCACATTCTACACAATAAAGAGCTTCTATGTACATACACACATTTATAAATTCTGGGCGCGGCAAGTTTTCGGTGGCACAAATCGGATTTCACATTTTGCGTAACAACGGGGTTTTTATACGGGGTGTTCTAAACGTCAAAATCATATAGATTTGAATAATGTACTAAGATCAACAAAATGAGTTTCCATTTAAGTAATCGATCAATTTTGGAAACGATGATAGAAGAAATTGATGATAATGGCAAAAGTGAACTTAATACTCTTGCATCTCGTATTACTAGCAAACATGAAATAACTTAGCTGTATAAAAAAGTTTTAACAAAAGTTTTGTGGAATGATAATGCGACGATTCTCAACAACTTATCATTCTCTTCGATATTAATATCTTAAATAACCAAAAGTTACATTTATTTCATCACTAAGTTTACTTCAAAAACATTTTTTTTTTAGTCTAATAAAAAAAATATTGGTAAACTGATGACATAAGTATTGCTTGTATGAGTTTCATTCTGATTGGATAAGCTAAAGATAAACTCATTTTATAAGTTATAATCATTAGAACTTTTCTGTGGAAAAGTAGGAATTCATTCACATTGCGACATGTTTACCGAACAATTTACATTCTCAACTGGGCCGAACATGATTATTTCAATCTGAATATTGGTACGATAATCAAATCGGCTTTTTATTATTACAGAAATGAAAAATCCTTTTTTTTTTTTGTTTAAGTGAAGTAAATACTTCTAAGCGTCTCATTATTAAGAACAATGACATTATTTAATTTATTAATTAATCATTAGTTTTGGTTAAATATTTTTAATTAAATTGTGAAATATGCCATAATTCAAGAACATGGAAACCCAATGATAATTTGAATGGAATTATATGAGAATTTCATTATTTAAATGCCTAAATTCAGGTACAAAAAGTTTAAGGAATTTCCGAATCATCTCATGATAATTAAAATATTCATTGCGTTACAAACATTCACTTAAAAAGTCCTACACGAGGATTAAATATGTCGGAGAACACCGACGTTACTTTATTAAATTACAATGATGAGGTGCATACAAATATTTGGGATGATCTGGTAAATTGTCGATCAGAAAATCAATTCAAGAACCAATAGAAATGTTGAAAAATATACATATATAAAAGGAAATATTTTCCCAAATCAATCCTTTTTTCTTTTTTTTTTTTTCGCAAACAAAATTCCTTATCGTTAGTCATAAAAACATCGATTTTTATATCAAAAAAAGTTATTCAATAAACCTAAAAAATTTCCGATCTTTTAAAGAAATTTATTTAAAGATGGAAGAAAGTTTGCAACTTAGCATTGATACATTTGAACAAATAAAAAATTTTGAATATTTTAGTTTATCTGTTGAACAATCAACGTTAATTGATAAACTAATATTAAATGAAGATTTAAAAGCACGTTATAAAAAGTATGGCTTGTGTAAGGAATGCAACCAACCAAAAACTCATTACAATTGGTGTCAATCATGCAACGCGAAACATTTTCAGCAAAATTTCAAAAATTGGAACAGTGGAAATAAACACATCGACGAACTAGTTCAAAAATCACAACTCGTTGCAACGGGTTACAAAAATGTGATCGAATGGATCGAATATGATAGATTTGAAAACATCGAATATTTATCCAAAGGAGGATCCGGGATCACTTATAAGGCATATTGGACAGATGGGTATATATGGGGTTGGGATACTAAATATAAAAAATGGAAAAGAAACAAACATGATATCACCGTCGCTTTAAAATGTTTACATGGCTTACAAAATATTATGGATGAATTTTTAAATGAGGTAAATTGCTTTTTATTTTCCTAAAAGTTAAATTGAAATGACTTATTCATCATTACAAATTTCTTCTTTCAGGTCCGTTCACATCATATAATGAATAATTCAGATCATGTAATTCACTGTTATGGTATTACTAAGGATCCAAAAACAAATAGCTTCATGAGTGTAATGCGGTATGCGGAAAATGGTAATCTGAGACAAAGATTGAATATAAAGTTTAACTCAATGGATTGGCTGAATAAGTTGAATGCTTTAATTAGTGTTGCAAAGGGTCTTGAGAATATTCATGCTTATGGATCAATTCATCGTAACTTTCATTGTGGCAACATCTTGGTTCATTATTGGAATGAATTCCTTATTGGTGGTTTGAGATTATGTCAACCATCTTCACAAATTGACAAAAAGCAAGTATATGGGGTGTTGCCTTATATAGCCCCTGAAGTTTTACGTGAGAAAAAGATTATTCGAGCAAGCGACATTTATGGTTTCGGAATCATAGCATATGAGGTACTTACAGGAATGCCTCCTTATTATGATATAGCTCATGATGAATTGCTAGCTTTAAAAATCTGTCAAGGATTGAGACCAAAGTCTGATTATAAAATCCCTCAACTAATTTTTGATGTTATTAAACGGTGTTGGGACGCAAATCCTTCGAACCGTCCTAATGCAAATGAATTATGTAATTCATTAAATAATTTAGAAAGGAATTGTAATGATAAACATTCATTAATTAATAAGCAATTCGAAGAAGCAGATGAGATAAACAAGCCGCTTTCATCAGAAACAGCTGATAGTGTACTTTCATACACAACACATTCTCAGGCAGTTTATACTAGTAGGTTTTTTGATTTTAAAAATCTTCCAGAACCCAAAAATGCTATTGATGTCAATCCATCTGAAACCGAAAATTCCAGTACGTTTATGGTTATTTATTTATTTATTTATGTTTTTTTTTTAAAATTTTAAATAGAAAATAACAATTTTTTTTTTCAATTATAATAGAATCTGTAATTATTGATTTTGTTAAACTTAAAATCGATTCAAAAGGTATTTTTTTTTTAATTTTAATTTTTGTTTATTTGAATTATTCAGAATTATATTTATTTTATATTGAATGTTCATTTATGTTGCATTAATCAACTTTATTTTTTAATAAGTAGATGAGAATAATGAAGAAACGGTTGCTGTAAAAGACTAGACATTTGATAATAGCTATATAATACGTGTTAAATATATATATATTATGAATAAAATCGAATTTCCCTATTTAATATTATTATTATATTTTAAACATATATGTTTTACAAAGAATATTGATTGGATTTTGATTTTATGTTTAAAAGAAGCAAAAAAAGATTTAATAATTAATTAATATTTTTTCATAATTAAAAATATTTGAAATTTAATAATATCAATTATTTGTTTTACTTTTAATAAATTTGTGTATTATTTAATATATAAAAAAAATTTGATTCAAAAAATTTTAAAAATATAATTAATTAATATAATTAAAAATCTTTAGTTATTAATTATATTATACTAATAATACAGAAATAAAAAATAAAAATTTTTTTTTATTTCTAAATTAGAAATTATTATTATAAAATTTTTTTTTTATAAATATTTATTTAAATATTTTAAAATTACAAAATGATAATGATTTATTATAAAAAATTTCATATAGTCTGGATTATATTTTATTTATTTAAAATAAAGTTACATTTAAAAAATAATTAAATAAAATTTTTTTTAAAATTTTATATTAAAATTAATTAATTGAAAATTATAATTAAATTTAAATAAATAATTTATAATTTAAGAAAACATATATATATAATTATTTATAATTTATAAATATATTATATTAAATAATAATTTATTGGATTATTCTTTATTATTTCTATATAATAAACCTTTAAATTAAAAATTTTTTATAAAAAATTTATTAATAATTAATCTAAATATATTTCAAAACTTTATTTATATAATAATAAATTACAAAAATAAAAAAAAATAAAATTTATATCAATAATTTTTTATATCGATTTATATAAATAGATCTGATTTGTTTTATTAATTAAATAATTATGAAATAATTATAAATTTTATCATTTGCTAATCATTAAAAATAATATTTTTATACTAAAAATAAATAATATTAATTGTTAGCTAATAATTTATTTTTAATAAATTAAAAATTAAAAAAAAATATTTATTTATCATAGAACTTGAAAATTCTTTATTTTTATATTATATATATATATTTTTGTTAAATTAAAAATATATAAGAAAATTTTAAATTTCAAATCCTACTTACCATATAATATATAATAATAAAATAAGAAAAAATTTAACATTTAATTTACTTCACATATACTCTATATACTCTATAATATTATATCTTAATTTTAATAGTTTTAATATTATTACAAAAAAATATTATTATTATAATTCATAATTAATCTAATAATAAAAAAATATATACTCTTTATATATTAAGTAATTAAATTATTATATATATATACAATATAATATTTTTTAGATTTATTCAAAAATATCAAAAATTATTAAATAAACTATTAAAAAATATATTTAGCATTAAATATAAGAAAATTCTAATATATTGCAGAATTTTTTTATTTTTCATAAATTTTCTTTTTTAAAATATATTTTTATATATATAATAAATATAATTTATTATTATTTTATAAGTGACAAGTTACTTTATTAAAAAATCTTTAAAAGATAATAATTAAAAATGATTTGATAACTAATATTTATTTTGTAAAATTACTTTCTATTTCTTATTATAATACATAATTATTTATAAGTAAAACAAATATAAAATAAAGTCTTTTATAATATACAGTAATATGTAAAAAAAAATACAATTTTTAAAATCGTAATAGTTACACAGCACTCAACATCTACATAAAGTTAAAATGGATTATTTTATTAAAATAATCAAAATGAAATTATAACATATGCTTTTCATATATAAAAAATCTAAAAAAATAAAAAATATACAATCTTGATTAATATCACTCTATTTCTTATAAAATAACTACCATTCAATTTTTATAATTAGATGAACCTAATGAGCAATTTTTGATTGTATTAATTGTAATCATATCTCTAAAATCTGAACTTCTTTTATTTAAAGTAGAATTTATGAATTATAATTTTATAATTTTAGCTGATAATTCAATCATGATTATCTTGATATTAGCTGATCTAAAAATCAATAATATTTAGCTTATTAAATTCATCTAGCCATAAGGAATTGAATATTAGTTATTTCATAAGAAATGAAGCGTTATAACATGGTAAATTTTGACTAAAATTTGCTTACAAATCTGATGTCAATTAAATATTTTGGTCGATCATCTAGTAGATCACTTTTATTAATTAAATATTCTTATTTACCATCTCGCCAATCCTGATATCAACTTTATATTTTTGATAATCAGTGTAAAACATTGTAGATCTAGATGTTAATTTTATTTCTAGTATAACAGGCAACTTTATTAACATGATATCTTTGTTGATCAATTTTGTCAACTTTATTTCTTATTTTCATAACATTATTTAGTTTATTTTATTTTTATAACTAGGAAATGGATTCATTCAAATCCAAAATATGGTATATAAATTATAATATCATATTTCACATGATTAATTATTTTGTAATGCAAAAATATAATACGTGATAATGTAAATAAAATGTTATTGGTCTATCAGGCTTGCTGAATTTAGACGAATAGAATGACTTTGCATTTAAATGACCTAGAAGTAAAATATTTTCTGCTATACTTTAGACAATTATCAAATATGTATAAATATCACTGTATTTTTATTAAGTCTCGATACCTTCGGGTAAAGAACTTACTTTTATTATAATATTAATAAAAAATATAATTAACAAAATAAAACTTATCCTCCACTACCCTATAACCTGTGTATAAATTATTATTATTTAACTTTGTGTGGTATTATATTGATTCATTGTATTGACTTAAAGTATGGTTACTAAAACGTAATCTTTAAAATATTTAAAAGTTATTCATATTAATTAAGAATAATCTTTAATATTTAATACAAATCTTCATTATGATTCCCTGAGTTTAGTCTTAGCATTATTTATTTTTGTGAATTTTATTGAGTTACAAATTAGACATAATAGCATTATTAACTAAGATTGTATATTTTTTGTTTTTTAATTTTTTTATATATGAAAATCATGTAATATGATATCATTTTGATCATTACAACTTTTATTTTAACTTTGGCCTCAAAATCAAAATATTTCAATTTTTGGGTTTTTATTTGATAGTCAAACTGATTAAAATACATGATATTTTTTTAAAACTAAAAAGCAATAGATTTTGTTAAAAAAAATTAATGATATTTATTACTATTTTCTCAATAACTTCTTTATAATACTATAGCATTGAATTTCTAAGATTAATTAGAAAGGTATTTGAAAAATTTTTTTACTCCTTCACTAAAAAATGCTTTAATTTACTAAGGTTTTTTGATTTACGTATAGGGATACTAAACAGTTCCAAATGACTGTAAACAAATATTAAAATTACAAATTATAGAAAAGTCTAATCGCCTATCTATAATAAGTAACTCTTGATAAAAAAATATGATTATAGAATTAACAATTAATATTAGACCACTAAGATAAGATCTGATCTTTAAGACCAGGTCTTACGTTTCAAAAATTAAGATTCTGGATTTTTGCATAAGTTTAATATATATTTATAATAATATTTAATTAATACATTATCATTAGAAAGTAAAATATAATGCTAGTAAAATAAAAATCTTCTTTATAAGTAATAAATTTATAGAATTATCTAGAATCATTTAATATTCTTATCTATGCAACTCTATGTTTCTTTTAATAATTGCCTAAAGGTTTTCAATAGGATTTAAATCTGGACTATTAGAGGACAATCCGTAATTTTTGGATATACTTATTAAGAAAATTCTTAGTAACTTTACTAGTATGCTTAGGATCATAGTTTTGCTACAACCATTATTTATTTTGTAATATACTGCATATTTCTAAAAATTACTTTTCTAATATTTCTATATAGAATTATCTATTCATTATATATCTATAACAAAAAAAAACTAGTAATGCTTTTTATTCAAAAATCATCACAGGTAAATATTTTACTTTAGTTCTTTAACATTTGACAAACTGGCCTTGCATTTTTATACTAATGTTTTATCATATTATAGAATAATTGAAAAGCTGTTTCATTACTAAATAAGATCATTTTCTGATTATTATTCTTAAATTTTTAGGTCTATTCAATATGTTTTTGCTTATAGGCTCATATTAACACCAGTATATAAAGAGGAAGTACACTTTGGTATTCAAGATTATCTAAATATTTTGTTGAAACAATTGAGTGGGAAACATTTACTTCAATATCTTTTAATTTAATAATAATGGATTTAGTAGCAATTAAGAGTTTTCTTCAAATATACTGTACTGCTCAATTGATTGAAATGCATTTGGTATTATAATTTTAATATGCTTATTACCATTTTTACATTGAACATCCCTAGTGGCTTCAATTTTTTTAAGGTTTTAGTAGATAGTCTTAAGTAGAATCTTTGTCAATAAGTGCATTTCAGAAGTATTATGTACTTTTTTCTTCCAGAAATATAAAATTATTTGATGTTAAGTTTTTTCTTGGATGAAGTTATTTCAAAATTAAATAAATTAAGGTTTTTAGTATAGTACAGTCAACCCTTGATATAACGAATTTTATGTCCTGAACTTCAACTTAGCTATAGAGCTATAGTGAATTTTTTAAAGAATTTGATTGGCTAGTTCGTTATAATGAAGGTAAATTTAATATAGTTG